AACGGGAACCAAAAATGGCTCACTGCAATGCCTTTCCTCCCGCATACACGTTTTAACTGATAAGGAGGAAATGCAATTTCTACCAATCGTGCATCGCCATTACGTTTTATCAATAAGTTGACCTTTAATCGTCGAAATGCTCACTGCGCCTAGTCATCAGAATTGTGGCCATTAAAGATAGTTTGCCGATACTTAATACAACAGAATCGGCCAAAAAGAATTCAATAGCACATTGTTATCGCATGGTTACAAGTTAGGGTCACGGAAAAGCTTCACAAAGCGAGGCAGTGGCAAAATTGTTCCTGTCGTTTCGCGAAAGAGGAAGATATCTACTATCGACGAAGAAAATGACGTCGCGCCGCGACGACGAGGATGTTGAAAAAAATGGAAAAAGCAAAATCGATAACCTCGTGCCGCACTAATATATGATAGGGTCGCGTTATTACTGGGATATTGACGCAGTTGCATCACGACGCGCGTCGCAGGGGGTCTCGAGATCGTCGTTACTACTGTTGTTCACTTTTAACGTCACTCTCGACTCCTCTCCCTTTTCGTACGCTTCTGCACACTCGTAGCTTCCCGTTCGCGGTCTCCGTCCCGCCTACGGATTCTCAATTTTCATCGCAATTACGCGATACTAATTATTTCGCGGATTATCGGCGTTCGACGTCACTGAAGCGTGCGCCGAGTTCCTCGGAGACGATGATGAAATCTCGACCGCTAATTACTTTTGGAGTTTGAACATTTCCGCGATTCATTAAATTGTACGCATATTGGGTAACAGGCCTCGTGATTCCGACGAAGGTGCGACAATATATAGTACATGGCGGACGATAACGCCGCACGAGCCGCGAACGAAACGCGTCTCGATAGCCCTAGAACTTCGATAACCCTTTTCCCGGTCGCCCGATAGCGACCAGCTGAAAGAATGAATTTAATCGACCGTTTTTATTCTCTCGAGCTTCCAGACGGTCGAAGTTTAGATGATACTAGGGTTACTTTGGTGCGCGGAATGGAAAGCATCCGAGCTTCAGCTCGTCGATAAACCTCAAACTCGAAGCGTTGAATCGCTCAGATGTCTCGAATCAAGGCGAGGACTGCGGTAGGGAAATAATAGATTACGAAGAACGCGGTGGAATACTTTCTCGGTGTCGATGATGACTGGACGGATTCCGAGAAACACCCCTCTTCCCCTGGCTCGATTTTACCCAAGGCAGAAAAGTGGGTTACGGTTCTCGTCGTTTCCTCGTAAAACCCCCTACGTGCATACTCGCACACCTACTTTTATCGGGGCCCACTCCGTGCCTACGCGTTCCGACGAGTGGGCATGCTTGTATACACTCGAGTCCGGCGTGACGAGTCAGCGGTAACCGAGATTTCGACACGGACCTCCAGGTATTCCCTGATGTAGCTGTCCGTCGAGGCGTCTAATGCATCGTTACGTTTCGCGGTGAATTTTGATCGATCGCGCCGCGCGGGATAAATCGCGAGAACAACTTTGACTCGTTATTGCGTCAGTTTCCTCTTCTTCGTAATTAGACTGCAGATCTCTTACATTTATGGAAAATACAGAAAGAGGACAGAGATATTATTATGTCTAAAGGATAAAACGAATTCCTGTCCATTTTCTAAGTTCACATCACAAATATCTTATTTTATATAAAAAACGGTAGTCTATTCGTTTCGAGGAAATTGAGAAATTTCTAAAGACAGACAATTAATACTTATGCTCGTTAGATAAGATGTAAGCCCTTTAGAACATAGAAAAGAAAACAAGAGATTTCTGACGAACTTAAGACATTAACATAAGCTTAAAAATAAAGCAAATAATAAAAACTTAACAGAAAAACGAGAAGTGAAAATAAAAATAAAACTTAATGATAAATTGAAGGAAAAATGTATGCGAAAATTCTAACTAAAGCCAGAAATATAATGAAAAAATAGAAGTACTTAGGGACGCTTTCCGCTTGGATGTGAAGGAAGGACAAGAAACTTCGTTGCAAATTGTGAATCTCAATAGAAAATGAAGACGACGATTTTTGGTGAATCGGTCCCGTTGCTCGGTAACTCGCGGATCGGCTGTAGATTTGCGCTACTTAACTCTCGCCGCTAACTGCTCACCTTCACCTCGTCTCTTACTCAACGATCGTGCCGAGTTCTACCCCCGTTGCGTAATTACCGGCGCGCAATCATTACTGAGTCAAATCGTCACTCGAGCGGAATAAGTGCGTATGCCGAGCAACATGAAATTACGCCTGTTGCACGTACGAAGTACGAAAGCCGACGCGAAGCACCGAGACGCGTCGTCGACGCCTCGTTCAATCGAGAAGTCAACCGAATCGCGTTATCGAACGAGCTTTCATTAAAGGGTTGTCATCCTACGTTCATCCCTTATGCAATTCTGCATAATGTATGAACAATTGAGAAGTTGGTTCTAATTGCCATGGGAAATTATAATAGAATTTAGCTGAGGAATTAAGAAATTTATCATCGCTGACGCAACTTTCGTGTGGCTTCAATTTCAATGAAAGAAGTTTAAAGATTGTTCAATAAATGTTTATCAACTCGTACGGTAATGTTTTCTATTGGACTTGTTTTAAAACAAATAATTATGCAACGCGAGCGCAGGACAACGAAGTTGACATCGAGACGTTAAACAATCAGGCCTTTTTTGGAATTAACCCCAGATAGCTCCGCGGTCCCAACGAGATTAGCCCGTCGCGATGATACCGCGGTTTAATTATAGACTTTCCGCAAGATCGTCGCGACAAGAGGAAATAGAAGCAGCGTAGTAGTAGGCAGCACGTGTAGGTGCCGCGAGAACGTTTCGATTTTTTCTTAATCCAGTTCACCCGGTTCCTGATAAGAGTTTTCCACCGTTCGCGCGCGTCCCACAACCGAAGCTGACGCGTCCTTGCGCGAAATGAACGTTGATCCCCCGACAATGACACAAACCAGGCAGTGTGATTTAGTTCGTGAATCATCGATCAGCCACGAGTCGCCGATATAACAAGACGGTCGAACGTTTAAGTATCGCAGCTATCATTTCTCCAAGAGGAAATCGAATGCACTTCGACTCCGATCCACGATCCTAATCCATATTTTAATAATAATCAGCGCTGTGTCTAGCTTCACTTCTTTTCTACGCGTATTCTACGTGTCTACGTTTTACTGAATAAAACGGTCGATTAATAGAATTATCATATCGATCTCGTAGGTATTTGCCAACAATTTAAAAGGGGGACAGTCGACGTGAGATGCGAGAGAAGAGAAACAAGCGTTCGTACGCGGCTAACAAGGGAAAACATGTTTTGTTCGCGCCGAAGATCGTGAATCAACAAGATCGGCTATTTTGTTTATAGCTTCCGTCATGGTTATCGTCCCTTACGTTCGCGTTACGTCCGCCAATTTTTCGGCCGCGAACGACGTAAGAACCGTAGCCGCGTGAACTTTGATATCGACGATCCAAGAGACCGACGAGTCGTTTGGCACAGGAAAAACCGAAAGGGAAATGAGAGAAAGACTTCTCGGAACGAGTCAGGCGTTAACTTATCGAATCTTGCGTGGCACCATCGACCCCGGCGACCCTCAAAACCCGATAAAACGACCGGCTTCTCTATCCGAGCGCGTTATCGAACGCCTTTATCCGGTGGTAAACCGGAGAACCGTCTTTCAGAATCCCATGATATGTACAAAGTTATATGACCCTTCGCCACGTCTAATTCTACGGGAAGGAACCATCTACTTTCCTCGCGATTTCGATACCGGCTAAACATCGTCGAAAAACGTGACTTTCGACTTCTGGTCCGACGTATCCGGTTTGAAGCGCCTCGGCGGTGAAAAAATTCGCCGAGCTAAAAAAAACTGAGGTTCGACGGTTGTCGGAAACTTTTCATACGATAATCGTAATCAATTAGAGTAGCTCGGTGCTATCTTCCTCGCGAACCGTTCCACGAGGAGATGATCCGATCTCGATTGCTCTCAACCCGTACGGAAAATCGCCGAACCGGATAAATAAAGTAAATAACGATAGCCATGAAATTCCCTCGATAACGAGAATCGATGCGGCGCAGACCGATTTGAATTATGCATGCACCGCAGAAGAAAGATCTGATCACACCTCGATCGCGTCTCGTGACTCTCAATTATACGAGATAATTATCTCGCTCTCTGTCTTATTATTAACCACGATACACCCAAGATAGACGAGAAGAATATCTGTAATTATTCTTGATGTAACAATTAAACGATCGTGCGCGCTTGAAGAGACAGTCGCGAGATCGAACCGCGATTTGTAAACGCGGGGGAATGGATCCGCGTTTCTCTTACAATGAATCAAATCAGCTGGCTAAGGAAAAGTGTAAGAATGTTATCGTTATCGGTGTTCCATGCCGGGCAAACATCGGCCGCGTTAGCCACGGGAATCGCGCGGAAAATATGCAATTGTATGTTATCACGTTTCGGGATAACACGTAGCGCGTCGTCTCACGATGGGTGGTGCGACCGACGCTTAGGCCAATCGACGGCCACGGTAAAGTGCCTTACCCCCTTGCACGTGACCCCCGTGGCTTCATCACGGCATACGTCATATCGCTGACCCCACGGGCAAAATAATATACGCGATACATTTAACGGCGAAACATATTTTGTGCCCCGCTATGCTATCGAAATGTGACGTGCCCTCGGTTTTGATTATCTCGAGCGTTGTAAATCACGCGATACATGGACCGTGGACGTACGCCTCCACGTGGAACGATACGTCAACCGGTCAACGTGTTCCCGAAGCGAGAACTTCGAAGGCCCTCCCTTTTTCGGGAGACCCGTTATCGTCGTTGATACGAATAATCGTGGCAATAAATCGAGCATGCATCACCAGAATCTTTTGGAAATTGTGCTTTAGATAGAATGTATATTCTATCGTACGTGAATGATTCATGCGATGTACAAATAAATACAAACATATATTGTAAATATTAATTAATTAAATGAGATTGACTCACATTCTGGTTGTCGAGGGGCTACGGGCTGGAGGATGGACGAGGCGAGCGCCGATGATACCTTGCATCTCCTCTTTTGACATCCTAGCGCCATCCCTTGATACTAAAATAAAACATGATACTGAATTCTCAGCTACAGTAACAATAGCCGTTAAATGGTTATGTTTAGATTTTTTTTAGCAATACCGCCATCGAACTGAAGTACTGTATACCTAGGTGGTTTCAAGATCAACCGATGTTTACTTTAACTATTCATAACCTTTGACAAAGCCTTCTGTTAAAAACATGTTTTGCTTACATTCTGCATATTATTCATAGCGCCTTTTCGTTTAGATGTTCCTCAACGATTCTATCAAACACTTGTTACAAAATCTAACGTGTTTTTCACTGAAATGCACTATTTTTCGAGATAAAACTTAACGATAATCTCTCGTCACTTTCAATAAATTGGTCACTGCGCACTGAAGTTGCGCAAACGTAAAAGCGCGAACCGAATACGCTCTCTGCGCTCTCTGCTGAGGAGACGCGAACTAACGAGATGACAAGCATTCAACGAGTAGAATCAGTAGAATATTGCTTGAAAAATGGCGCTTGCCGAAATTTGTGGTTTAAATTCGTTTGTCGACTTCAATGCCGCGAACGAGAAAGATTATTACAAACGGGATATCGAGGCGTGCGCCAGAAATTTTACGAACAACGCGCAACTGGCAGTTCCACCTTATATAAATGTAAGCGAATCAGATCCTAAATCTTGGTTATGACCGCTCTTTGCTTAATTTCTGCTACATCATGCGATTTTAAAACGATTTCGTTCGACTTTGTAGCCAGCAGAAAAATTGGCCCAACTCGCAGAAGGCCCTGACGACAGTGGAAATCATCTGAAGATCAAATTCGATCATGGAACGACTACTCTGGGCTTTCAGTACCAAGGCGGAATTGTTCTCGCCGTCGATTCGCGAGCAACGGGTGGCCAATTCATCGGTAAGCCTGAAAAGAATGTAATAAACCACAAGAACATATCTGCAACACTCCTTTTATAGGTTCCTCCACCATGAAAAAAATTGTTGAGATCAACGATTATCTTCTTGGAACTTTGGCTGGCGGTGCTGCCGATTGTGTTTATTGGGATCGTGTCCTGGCAAAACAGTGCCGAACATATGAATTGAGAAACAGGGAACGCATTTCTATCGCAGCTGCCAGCAAACTCTTGTCAAATATGATATACAATTTCAAAGGAATGGGACTAAGTATAGGTAATTCTGCCATTTTCAAAGTCAGTAGTAACTTCACGTTTCCTTTAATATAATTAATAAACTGTCAATAGGCATGATGCTTGCTGGTTGGGACAAAAGAGGACCAAGCCTGTACTATGTTGATTCAGAAGGTGCGCGTACACCGGGCAAGGTTTTCAGTGTTGGCTCGGGATCGATTTATGCATTCGGTGCTCTGGATTCTGGATATCGTTGGGATTTAACTGATGAAGAAGCCTACGAACTTGGCAGAAGGTCCATTTACCATGCCACGCACAGAGATGCTTACTCTGGTGGTATCGTGAGAGGTAATGTAATCAAATAATCAAGTAAAGGAACAGAATGAACAATATATTACAAGAAATTTATTTTTTCCAGTGTATCACATGAAGTCGACAGGCTGGGTACACATCTCTGACCAGGACTGCAAGGATCTTCATTATATGTATCAGGAACAGAAAGAGAAAGGACTCAATTAGTAGAATTTGTGATTTACTGTACTCCATGCAATGTTTTCTTTAATAAAATTCATCTCTAAAACTGGTATACCCATATGTACATTTCCTAAGTTGATAAGCCTTAAATACTCGTCGAAAACATGTATATATAGGATTGAATGTCATATCAATGTAATTTTTCAACTCCAATTAATTCACGTTCGAACTTTCCTTACAAACATAGGAAGAATTCATTGTAAATATTTTAATAGATAAAGAACGTGACGGGGTTCTCCCCACTACTCATTCCAGCATCGGCCGCCATCGAGTCAGTTAGCGCATTGGCGCAGTGCAACGAGCGGTGTACGTGTTATTCCCACGGTTATTCCGTAGTGCAAAACGTGCAGCTTAATTGGGTCCGAATCTATTATTAATTGAGGGGCAAATGTCAACTCCGGACGAGAGCGAGCTCAAGGGTGGCCACCCTCCTGCAGGTAATTATATGCGTCGCAGTTTCCCTTGTAAGGTTAACGTGTTTACACAACTGAGCTATCTAGGTGACGTTGCACCTGTAACGTGCCGACTTTCAAGGCCAGCCGATAATTTCCCATTTATTTCGTTTAAAATTCATTGAAAGTTTCCGTTTTTAGTTAAAGCGGGCGGGATGAGGATCACTCAGCACAAAACGCCGAAGGAGGAGCGCGAATTGAAGCCGATTAAGGACGTGGACGAGAATAAACCGTCGACCAGGTGAGTTGACTTCATTGTTCGATAAAAATGGTCTCTCGTGTTAAAACAAAGTAAATAAATGTGGATGAACTCAAAGTCGAGTGCCCTAAGCCTACTCAACCGGTAAACAAAAAATTTCGATAAGAAGCGGACGCGCCCCGGGATAACAGCTGGTCGTGGTAATTTACGTTGCAGCATCTGCCATACTTGCGATAAACGTCACGATCCCTATTACGCATTGACGAGCAATACTGTAATAACAAAATGGACGTGTATAAAGAAAATATTATCGCCGGGGTGTTGAAATGAAAATAATTTCCACCGATCAACAAATAACATTTATATTATTTGTTTGGTTACAGCCCGCCGAAGACATTGATGATCAGCGGAGTTCCTGCAAAGGGGAACGCAGACTTCCCTCCAGAGGCTGTCCAAGCCTTCCACCAGAAGCCTTTGCCGACTCACGACATTCGTCCTATGCACTCTTCGCGTCCTATCATTATCCAACAGCCAAGGAAGTGAACAATTCGCTTATTCTTCATCGACCCGAGGCTATCAACAACTACAGCCCAAATGCTTATCATTAAAAGTAAAAAAAAACAGAAAAAAAATTATAGATATGTATATGTACTTGGAAGCTTCTCTGAGACGTTGGGATTTCACGTATACTTTCAAAAGTATGTGATCCTATTCTCAGGGAACTTCGACTTCGCGCAACGCGAAGCGGAAGTACTTCGTGAGAGTTTATTACTGTTGAGAAGAAAGAAAGAATTTATTTTTCATGCAACGCTACGAGATTCCTGTATCGGCATTTATTAAACGAACGACCCGCTCCGCTTTGCGAAGTACCGTTCGCACGTAACTAAGATTAGATTAGACTGTTGCGTAAATAGTTGCTCTTATCTGGATTTTGTAATCGATACATATATGTACTTCGGTTTATGCATCGCGCGATAAAGAATATTTGTAAACGCCTTCGGGACCAGTATGTATATTTCGTGTTGGAACGCATAAGAAAGCTAATGTTATTTTCAGTTTTTGAAATCCGTGCACTCTTAGTCTTACCCGTAGGTACCAGGGGAAGTTACGTTGGTCGACGCTATAGTTTTTCACTTCGCGAAACAGAATCGTACCATTCGTGCGAATGAAACTGTTGCGCGTGTAAATGTCGGACGAGACTCATCGCGTTGAAGACAGTTTATACTTGAGACTTGAAGAAAACAATATATATGTACGTTCTTATTCGTAGAGAAAGTTTTAATCAATTTGTTTAACCCTTCGTTCCTCTTTAACCCTGCACGAGTTCGGTCACCAGCGATCACGCAATGTCGTTGGTAGGTAACCAGGTGCACCGGGAATATTGTCGTCATAGTAACTGGCACGAATTCTATAAACATAGCCACATTGATGTGTCAAAGGTTGGATGAAAAAGCTATTCGAGTGGAGCTTCCTTCCTGATGTGTATAAAGATGTGAATGCGTTACGGTCCGCGTACACCGTTTCCGTCTGAAAATTTTCGTCGTCCTCAATCCTTCGTGATCGTCGTGTTGATTCGCAAAGTTTCGCCGTGTCCACGATCCCGTCGCGATGTCGTCAAAAAATACCAACGAAAAGGTTCTGGAGATCGACGCTCACGTCAGCAAACATTATGACATCGTCCGACGTCTTGGCAAGGGGGTAACATTTTTTTTTATTATCAATGCGAGTCACTCTTTCCCAATCCGATGAATTTTAAATTAATTCAAATGCGCCCGCGATTTTTTATCATCGACATGAGTCACGCTTTCCTCATCTGATGAATTTTAAATTAATTCAAATAAGCCCGCAATTTTTTATATATTTGTCCCTGTCTTTTTTTTAAAAGAAATTCCGCAGAGAAAAAAATTATGTGCTTCCTTTTTATATAATTAAGAAATTCGTGGTATTAAGAACGCAATGGGAAAGAATTAAGTATACTATGTATACCTACGTAAAATTATCAATAATAGTCGTGGTACGTCTGTCGCGAAGAAGTATAACCGGAAGGAATCGATACCCGCGCAGTTAGCAATCACAATCAGAACAACCGAGCGTTAAGTTAAGTAGGCTCTGTGTGACAAAACATGCCCGACGAATGATAGATTTGATTCTTATTCCTTGATCGCGTTTTCGTATAAATAAAATGAAAAATATTCGATGATTCTTGCGTTCGCCGATGATCAGCGGAGCCCGACTGCGTTTTAAATGGATGATTTGCTAGGCTTACGGCATCGTATGGAAGGCGATTGACAAGAAAAACAAAGAGACGGTGGCGGTAAAGAAAATCTTCGACGCCTTCAGAAACCAGACGGACGCGCAGCGCACATTCCGCGAGATAATGTTCCTACTGTCGTTCGCCAACCACGAGAACATCATACGGTTGATCGGCCTGCACAAGGCGAACAACGACCGGGACATATATCTCGTTTTCGAGTACATGGGTGAGTTTAACCCGGTCCGAAGAAGAAAATTCGCAAAACGAAGGTAACGTGCCGCGGCGATTCTCAGACTTTTCGCCTGAAACACGTATCGGCCCGTTTCCCCAGAAACCGATCTCCACAACGTGATTAAGAAGGGCAACATCCTCAAGGACATCCACAAGGTGTTCATCATGTATCAGCTGTTTAAGGCGATCAAATACATTCATTCCGGGAACGTGATACACAGGGACTTGAAGGTGAAACGGTCTTGAGCCACTTCTTACTTACACGTCGCATTCAGTCAGTGCAAACAGAGGAACATCGCACCGTTGCACATCGAAATAGATTGCAAATTTTAATGCAAAACAAAAGATTCATCACATCAGTTATAATTTAATTCTTTTTTAACATCTTTTATATTTCTTATATTTTTGTAAATCACACGCATAGTCAATTTCCTTCTACATACATAAAATCCGTAAGTTTAATCATTACTGCGGCACAGCATCATTGCACGATACGTAACGACGAGCTTTACCCGCGTTCCTTCGCCCGAATGACTCGGCCACGTTTGCAATTCGTTGCAGCCGTCGAACGTTCTGTTGAACGCTCAGTGCCATTGTAAGATCGCCGATTTCGGATTGGCACGATCGGTGACGCAGATAGGCGAAGGCGACGGCGAAGCCGGCAGCGATCCCACCCTCACAGATTACGTAGCTACTCGCTGGTATCGCGCACCGGAAATCCTCGTCGCATCGAAAAGGTATTCTCCCTCGGGCAGATCCCCGACTGCGACGTCTTCATACACGTGAATTCACCGACGACGGGTGTTATCAGGTACACAAAGGGCATAGATATGTGGTCGTTAGGATGCATTCTCGGCGAGATGCTCCTTGGGAAGCCGCTGTTTCCTGGCTCGTCGACGATAAATCAAGTAGAAAGGATAATGGCCACTCTTCCGCCACCCACCAGGGAAGGTAATTTCACCCCGACGTTGCATTTGTTCGGTGGAAAGATAGAAAATAGTCCACTCGCGGTGATTCTTTCAGATCTAATTTCGGTCAGTGCCGGGTACGGCACTAATTTGTTGGAAAAAACACCGAACGGACCCAGGCGGTCCTTGACGGATCTGCTACCCGAAGTGTCCGAAAAGGCATTGGATCTCATCAGCAATTTGATAGTCTTCAATCCGAATCACAGATTCACTGCTGTCGAGGCCTTGGAGCACCCTTACGTGGCTCAGTAAATACATGAATACGAATCGAGGCGAGGGGGAGTGTTCTATTTTATCATTTATCAATTCCCCTTTACAGCTTTCACAGGAGAAGCAACGAGCCGGAAAGAGGCTCGAACGTGGTTCCGTTGCTCCGGGACGACGTACAACTATCCGTCGACGAGTACAGGAATAAGCTCTATTCAATGATGGACGAGAAGCATCGCAAGCATAAGAACATGTGATACGAAACATTGATTAGCATAATAAACGAGCGTTACTGAGATCGGTGTACTATAATTGGCTTGATGACAGGTCAAAATCCAGAATCAGGCGATTGTCGGAGCACATCAGGAAGGAAACGCTTAGCAATAATAGTAATCCGGTGATCGGGCAGGGCGACGCGACTGTTGGCAAAAATTTTACGCACTCGTATCAAGATTTACGCAAAGAGAGAGGTAGAAGCGACGCGTACGATCCTTGCTGCCTGGAGGGTAATAACCGGCTCATTAAATCGGACCGATTAACGAAAATAAATCTCCCACAAATCTTTACGCAGTGCGTGTGCAGCTACCGAACAGGAAGACCACGCGGCATTCGCAAATCGACAGCGGGGAACGAATCACGAAGACGAGATCCATAAGCATGTCCGCGGAACCGGCAACGAAAAGTGTAAAGGGTCTCCGACCGAGCAACGAGAGTGAGGCTCTTTTCAATAAAATCTTGCCGAATGTATAAAGAGACGTTTTTAATTTCACGTTCTCTCGTTTTAATATCCGGCAGCTAAGAACGTGGCGACCCAGTACACGCAGAATCTCGTCAACGGGAATCTGAATAATTTGACGCCGAGCACGACGAAGAGCTGCCTGTATTTCAACCAGCAACGGCAGCTGTCCAAATCCCAGCGTTCGATACAGTCGGATCAAGCGATGGTGGTAAGAAAACAAACGAAACGTTAGGCTCTAACTAGCTCGCTGAATTTCCGCCTCTGTAACTCGTCTCGCGTCTCTGACAAACAGTAAACGAACGGTTCTGTCGTTACAGGCTACGTGTCGCGTGGGATTCATTTAGGTACTGTAATCATTTATACATGTCACTCATTCTTCTCGCACAGAATCGGTGCCCCCCTCCTTTACGAATTTTAGAAAAAAAAATAGATAAAAGCCTGCACTCTCCTTGTAAAAAGTTCCTCAGAGACCTGATCGAATGTATCTGGGATCTGTGTGCGATTTTCAGTGTGCAGCTGCTAGGAGATCGAATCAGATAGCGTCTGGTAGCCGGGACAAGCTGCGACGAAGTTGCAAACAGGTACGCGGCAGCACTCGGTTATTAGATCACGCGAACTGGCGCGAGGAGGACCGTCAAAAGACTCCGCTGGGTCAGGACAACTCGAAGGCCATTCAGGCGAAATATTTCGCGAAGACGCCGGGCACCGCGTCGTCTTCTTTCTATCTGAGGCCCACCAGCAACAGCAACAAGAACACCTGCAGCGCCGAGTCTCTTTACAATTCGTATCATCCCTCCGTGAAGAGTCAAGTAGTACGAAATTATTTGAATCAGACTATGCCATCGTGCGCCGACAAGCAGTCCGCGTCGCTGCCCTGTCAATCGAGGATATCGCTTTGGAACAGCACCGGGAACATCGAGAAATTGCACCCGCTCGCTAATTATCATCCATCGATCGGGAACAGTCGATCGAAGAATCTGATCTCCAGCCACGTAACGGGGACGCATTCTAAGCACTCGAACGAGGGTAGCGTTAACAGCGGGAAGAGGTCGATACGCGGCGACGCGCCTTTCTTCGACAGCTACGCCCAAAGTCACGGCGTGATAACCGCGTCCGCGTACAAAGATCTACGTAACGGGACTATAAGGTGGTAAAACGTCGCGTCAGGCTTCCGAGAAGAAGAACGAGGAAACGGAGGCCGCACATATTTTTGTATGACTCATTATCCCGAAATCTTGTTTAAATCCCAGTTAGACGGCACGAATGGAGAATGGAATCGCACCACACGAATATTCCCAGTATTAAACGCACGTATTCGACGCATTCTCGATATTATAAATATTTAAGGGACTGACGTATTATTAGAAATTAGGAACGAACCGCTGACCGCTGCGCGCTGGGCCATCGGCGGCCGTTCTTTTTCTCGGAAGCTATCGCCAATTGTACAGGAGAGCTAACGTTCCTATATAAATAAATCTAACAAAAAGTCAGTGGATATGCGAAAGTATAACAGCGTATCGAGCAATCGATACTTGGAATTCCTACGGGAACAAACTGCCGGGAGCCTCAATGTAAACGGAGCCACCATAAATGCAGGCGTAAGAAGCGAACAAATAGTGATCTCGAGGCAAATGGTACTTTAAGCTCTTAGGTAAGAAGAACCTTGCGAAATACGATCAGTTTATAGTTCTAGGATAAGAGGGAATCGCCCACCGACATTCGTTCAATAAATAAATCAAATTCGTTTCGATTGGAACGATATATAATTGTTACAAGATGATTCGAGGAGCAAGCAAGAATTCGTGGCGGAACAAATGTATAAGTACGTAATTCCAAGCCAATTGTTACGGGGCCAATACGGTGTAAAGTTATGCTATTTACACTCGTGGCCATGCGAGAACCGAGGGTTCCCGCGCTTATTACTTTTATTCGTGAACTGCGTAGCATGTAAATTCCTTTGTAATATACTTTTTGAGATATCTTTATGCGGCTATGTGATAATAATCCAATTCGTATGTATTACCTGTCGTGGAATAAATTTTTACTAAAGGAATGGATGGTTCGCTCCTCTTCCCTTTTCCGATCAGAAAAGATTGCTTTCGCGTCCTCTGCTTCAAAGTATCAAACCGCATTCCCATTTTCCATCCCGCGATGCGAATTCCAGTTACCGATGGATGCCGCGTTCCTTTCAGTTCGTTTCTCCGAAAGTGCCGTGTTAATAACGAGAAATACGGTAAGCTTTTGCTTTTCAGAGAATCAAAATTAACTCAAGTTTCACCATCCGTCATGTTGAGTTTCCGAGAGGAATAATGTATGCACGGTCCCAGGAAAGTTGAACAGCGCGATTCATTTGCCAGTTCGGAAAAGTATTCCACGCCACGAATGTTGAAATTTATGAGCCAACCTCTTTGCGAGTATCCCGTGCTCGATCGCGACACGCGGTTCAACGAAGTTTTTGCGCATCGAGGAACAAAATTTTTCTAATAATTGCCCATTGACTGATTAATCCGGGTGATATTTGATCATTCGAAACGCGTGGAAACTGCAGGCGCGGTATTGAAACGGCCGAACGTAATTGGAGAAGCTATCGAGAAAATGAATTTTCTGTGCGTGGGAGGATGTAGTCCTAATCGATATGTCGAGGAGGGAGACAAAGGGCAGCATTGTTTGCGATAACCCTACGATTTTTCAGCAATGTCTACTATCTATTTGAAATATGGAACATCGAACGGCGTCCTCGTTTCATGATTCGTTCTCGCTGAAATGAAAATGAGCCACAGATCTTTGCATATATATTGCAAGCAATTTACTCATCTCCGCCTATTTATACCGGCATCAATCCAATAATTGAAATAACACCGTGAACGTCAACCCGTAGAACAAACGAGTTTACTCGATGTAAACAAATGCTCGCGAGACCATGCTCGTATTCATTCACATTCTAGTGTCGCAGCTGCGTTCCTTCCTTTTTGCCATTCTACACGAACGGAATTGTTTCGGCCAAAAACTAAAACGAGTGGCGGGTGAACGACAACTGGTAAACAGTGACGAGCACTCGACACTCTCGACGCTTTTATTCACAAAGCGCAGCCCTATTTGTCTCTTCCACTTAAAAAACTTACCCTTTCGCTCGGACCCTCGTTAAATTACTGAATGCACTTCTCCCTCATTCATCATTCACCTTATGCGCTAGACGGAATCGTGTGCGCATCGACAAGATTCCTCTTCATACCCTGATCTGTATTTATACATATTTTTCAATTAACTTCTACTAACGAAGCTATTGCTGTAAGTATAATTAGAGTAATTTTGATATCTACGAATCATTGCTGCCTCTGCTAAAATCGTCGATTGTTTAATTCGTCGAATCGTTATTAGTTTTTAATCGATGGTCGAATAAACAAAAATAACTCCTCCAGCTTACGCACATCCGTTGTGCGCAATTGAATTTATGGGCATAAAATAGAATGGAAATTTCCCGAGTGGGTTATAAATATGAAACACCTTGTGTTATCTGCGTATCTATTTTCTGTTAAATTATGAAACAGAGACTCGATAAAGAGTAGCCAGCAAATAAAGCCAATTAATGATTCATCATTAAACTGATATTCTCAAATTTCCACGAATTTGACACGACTGATTTACATTATTATTGAACTACTTCCATAGAGACGTGACATTGAAGGAAGAACATTCAGAGAAAAATCGTGATTTCCGATTTTCATGTTTCCGCTCAGGTTAAATCGTTCGCTCGATCGCATCGTTTTTCATCAGTGGTAACGAGCGTGTTCGCGCGAGGTTGACTAGACTCGTTTTTCAAATTCTCCGAGGATTCCTGTTTCTTGTCGATCTTTTCGTTGATGTTTTGCTCGGCTACCGGTCGCTGCCTTCCCCGGAGGCTTTGCAGCATGTAGCAACGTCTGTGGGGGCTGTGTCTGCTGTAATAACTGCCGCTGCTCGACGTGCCCGTCCGCCTAAGCGTCATAGTGTGATGCCCACCGATCGGTAGTCCGCATCCGCATCCTGGTAGCATTTTCCGTTTCCTCAGCAGCCCCTGTCTCAACGTGCCACCGGCACTGCACCTTGCGCACACATGATCGATCACCGCTGTCCCTTGACCACCCTGAAACAAGCACGTCGAAACAACCGAGGTTTGCGGCTTCAAACATCTTTCAAAGTTATTGCCTCCTACCAGTTCTAGTTTATATTTCTGGAACGTAGACGATATTAGACTACGACAACAAATATTGACGAAACGTCGGAAATAAAATTGGTAACGCTCGGGACTGTAGGATTGATCTAAAGCAAAAGTTTACTACAAACTTTCATGGTAAATCGTTTGATGATGCTAAGAAAGTTTAAAGACTGTTTGTTAATAAATATCAAAGGGTCGTTCGCTGGTCTGGCGCCGAACGGCCTATCCTCGAGAGCGATCGACACTAAAGACGGCAGTAAAATTTTTATTGCCATCTGAGACTAATATTTTACGCAGGATTCAGGTTAATTATGTATACGAAAGCGTGCAAATATACTGTGCTCCGTCATAGGAAACGAAATGCGGACAAGAGCTTTCCACGCCGCGCGGACATACATTATCGGAAACAATGCAACGATTTTACTAATGCGTTTCATCCTGGTGATGGTCGTTTCGGAGCTCGTAAACGTAGACGCAGATGCTTCCGTAAATGTCTCACGCGTCGCCCATAATTTCGCATCCCAGATGGGGAATTCATATTGGGCTTTGATGAAATCGCGATAATCAAGCAGCCACGTGCCCTCGTAAATAGCTGTGCACGTTCGCGCCATATAACACATTTCCACCGAACCGGGAAAAAGGCTTCTTATTCGTTTCTCGGAAATCGCGCCGAGAACCGCGCGAAACTTTTCGTATGAATATGTATTTTCTTTGACTCAATGAATATGAATTTTTGGGCGGCGGTTCGCTGGAATATTAAATGGAGCTTTGAGATTACCAAAGGCTTCCACGGTTTTGAATCTACATTTACACTTTTTTCGACCAACCGGATAATATAAAAAGGCTCGTGATTACGAGCTTTGGGTTCCCGTTGTTACGGCAAAAAATCGATGAAACGCAGTGGTAGGAATTTGAAAAACGGTGACGATGTCCACATGCCTGACAAACGGAAGTTGTACTTACTCTGTGATGAAGTCTCCGACACAGCATGTGGCAAAGAATATCGGCGACGCTCTGCCGAAAATTCCGAGTCATAAAGCAGTAGACCATAGGATTTAGTGCGCTGTTCGCGTGTCCCAGAAAGAGGCAATAGGAGAGGGTGTTCACTTTCACCTCTGCGAGCAATACGACGTTAAACCGTAAGCTGGGTCCGTGAGCGTTTTATACGTTTTACGGGTACAAGGATATTCAATTAAAAGGAGCGTGGCACGATTTTATCAATTGAACGGGCACTCACTGACTGCACCTAAGTCGATCAGGAGCCTTAAGACATTGTACGGTAGCCAGCACAAGGCGAAAAGCACCGCCAGAAGAAGCAATATCCAAGCGATTCGTCTCCTTTCGCGTACCAATCTGCAACTCTGCGAAAAGAACCGTCGACGGCGGCACAAAGGCAGAAATAAAAGTTATATGCAATGATGAAACAGGCAAGAATCAAATGCACGACAACTTTAGAAATGATAAATTGACTGAGACGTGAAAGCGTATTTTTCCTACAATTTTAGCTATTTGTAAACCGCACTACTGTTGAATAGACTTTAATGAAGAGAAGTTAGAGAATTGGTTACATTTTGTTTACTCCATAAGATTCAATTATATACCGGATAGAGATGGGATGGAATCGTCCCTTAAACAGTCTGAACTTCCCGCATGTGTCGAAAATGATTCAAAGCGAGTCCACTTAAGGGTGTATTGGCTATACAGTCAATCCGAAAAGT